CACAAAAATTTTTTTGCGGTCGTATAAAAACAGTATGGGACATATATCAAAAAATTCGTAAGGGTTCCGCGGAACCCAGTGTCTCGCCTACTTTTGCTGTTAATCGCAGGCTCAACAAAAATGAGGAAAAAAATTAATAAAAATATTCCTCTCTATACTATCTTTTGATTGTAAGTAGCTTCTGTCCAAGTTTGGTAAAAATCCAGGATAGTTTATGAATCTAATAAATGTTTTAAAAACTTAAAGTGCAGACTGTATGTAATGTTAACTGGAAGAAAAACTAAGTCCATTTATAAGTAAAATACGGAAAAAATGGATTTTTTTTTACTTTTTTACAAAATTTACTTCTGGATACTATCTTTTGATCATAAACAAGCTTCTTTCCAAGTTTGGTAGAAATCCAGGATAGTTTAAGAAAGTTATTAAAATTTCAAAAACTTTAACCACAGAGTGAATGTAATGTTTCATGGCAGAAAAACTAAGTCCATTTATAAGTAAAATACGGAAAAAATGGAATTTTTTTTTTACAAAATTTACTTCTGGATACTATCTTTTGATCATAAACAAGCTTCTTTCCAAGTTTGGTAGAAATCCAGGATAGTTTAAGAAAGTTATTAAAATTTCAAAAACTTTAACCACAGAGTGAATGTAATGTTTCTTGGCAGAAAAACTAAGTCCATTTATAAGTAAAATACGGAAAAAATGGAATTTTTTTTTTACAAAATTTACTTCTGGATACTATCTTTTGATCATAAACAAGCTTCTTTCCAAGTTTGGTAGAAATCCAGGATAGTTTAAGAAAGTTATTAAAATTTCAAAAACTTTAACCACAGAGTGAATGTAATGTTTCTTGGCAGAAAAACTAAGTCCATTTATAAGTAAAATACGGAAAAAATGGAATTTTTTTTTACAAAATTTACTTTTGAATATTATCTTATGATCATAAACAAGCTTCTGTCCAAGTTTGGTAGAAATCCAGGATAGTGTAAGAAAGTTATTAAAATTTCAAAAACTTTAACCACAGAGTGAATATTTGTGGACGCCGCCGACGACAACGACGACGACGACGACGACGACGCCGACGGAATGTAGGATCGCTATGTCTCGCTTTTTCGACAAAAGTCGAAGGCTCGACAAAAATGGCTGTTTTTTTTGTGACAAAGAAAAAACTGATCGATTTGATCCATCTGTAAATAGTGTATTAAAATTTTTGTTAGAATTGCATATGAACGGCCTAGGATATAGTGCTGTTAATACTGCTAAATCAGCAGTATCTAGTTTTGTTTACCTTATTACTAATGTGCAAATTGGAAAACATTTTCATGTCAAACAATTTATGAAGGGAATATTTAACAAAAAATTCGTAAGGGTTCCGCGGAACCCAGTGTCTCGCCTACTTTTACTGTTAATCGCAGGCTCAACAAAAATGAGGGAAAAAATCAATAAAAATATTCCTTTGTCAAAGTTTGGTATAAATCCAGGATAGTTTATGAATCTAATAAATGTTTTAAAAACTTTAACTGCAGACTGTATTTGATGTTAACTGGAAGAAAAACTAAGTCCATTTATAAGTAAAATACGGATAAACAGGTACAAAATTTTAACAAAATTTCCTTCTAGATACTAGCTTTTGATCATAAACAAGCTTCTGTCCAAGTTTGGTACAAATCCAGGATAGTTTAAGAAAGTTATTAAAATTTTTAAAAACTTTAACCACAGAGTGAATGTAATGTTTCCTGGCAGAAAAACTAAGTCCATTTATAAGTAAAATACGGAAAAACAGGAATTTTATTTTTACAAAATTTACTTCTGGATACTATCTTATGATCATAAACAAGCTTCTGTCCAAGTTTGGTAGAAATCCAGGATAGTTTAAGAAAGTTATTAAAATTTTTAAAAACTTTAACCACAGAGTGAATGTAATGTTTCCCGTCAGAAAAACTAAGTCCTTTTACAAGTAAAATACGGAAAAACAGGAATTTTATTTTTACAAAATTTACTTCTGGATACTATCTTATGATCATAAACAAGTTTCTGTCCAAGTTTGGTAGAAATCCAGGATAGTTTAAGAAAGTTATTAAAATTTCAAAAACTTTAACCACAGAGTGAATTTTTGTGGACGCCGCCGACGACGACGACGACGACGACGACGACGCCGACGGAATGTAGGATCGCTATGTCTCGCTTTTTCGACTAAAGTCGAAGGTTCGACAAAAACCGGTTGTACCTTGGTATAATTGTACTTGGAATGTGGAAATTGTGTCAAGTCTGTTAAAGACTTGGAAACCAGTGAAAGATATTACATTAAAAAATTCGTAAGGGTTCCGCGGAACCCAGTGTCTCGCCTACTTTTGCTGTTAATCGCAGGCTCAACAAAAATGAGGAAAAAAATTAATAAAAATATTCCTTTCTATACCATCTTTTGATTGTAAGTAGCTTCTGTCCAAGTTTGGTACAAATCCAGGATAGTTTATGAATCTAATAAATGTTTTAAAAACTTAAACTGCAGACTGTATGTAATGTTAACTGGAAGAAAAACTAAGTCCATTTATAAGTAAAATACGGACAAAATTAAACAAGCTTCTTTCCAAGTTTGGTAGAAATCCAGGATAGTTTAAGAAAGTTATTAAAATTTCAAAAACTTTAACCACAGAGTGAATGTAATGTTTCTTGGCAGAAATACTAAGTCCATTTATAAGTAAAATACTGAAAAAATGGATTTTTTTTTTTACAAAATTTACTTTTGAATATTATCTTATGATCATAAACAAGCTTCTGTCCAAGTTTGGTACAAATCCAGGATAGTTTAAGAAAGTTATTAAAATTTCAAAAACTTTAACGACAGAGTGAATATTTATGGACGCCGCCGCCGCCGCCGACGGAATGTAGGATCGCTATGTCTCGCTTTTTCGACAAAAGTCGAAGGCTCGACAAAAATTTAACTTTTAAATTGGCCATGTTAATAGCTTTGACAACAGGTCAAAGAATGCAGAGTATTTTCTTATTAGATATTAGAAATTTGGAACTTTGAACTTGATACATGCTCAGTCAAAATAGGATATGGAGACTTGCTTAAGCAAACTAGACCTGGATATCAGTTACCAGAGATATATATAGAAGCATTTAAGCCAGATTTTAGGATTTGTGTGGTTCATGCATTACATGAATATTTAGGACGCACAAATAAGTTAAGATTTAATAATAATCAATTGTTTTTGAGTTTTCAAAAACCGTATAAACCTGTTAAAAAGGGTACCATTGCTAAGTGGATTAAACAAGTTTTAATTTTGGTTGGAATAGATATGAAAATCTTTACACCTCATAGTACTAGAGGAGCTGCTACTTCCTATGTTAGTGGACGAATTCCAATAGCTACGATTCTTCGCACAGCTGGATGGAGGAAAGATAGTGTGTTTAGAAAATTTTATCAAAGACCAATTACTAATGACAGCTCCTTCAGTAAAGAAAAATCTTATTAGCCAAGGGAAAATAAGATAGTTTTGTGTATATATGGATATATATAAATTGCCAAAATTTAGAATTATTAGTGTTTTCAAGTAGTGAAAGTATGTAGTGTTTATAGTATAACTGTTGCTACTTAAAGATTTTGACTGAAAGTGCAGAACTGAACTCTAAAGACTCATGTGATTCTATAGGTAGATTGGACTTACTAAATTAACAAATTAAACAAAACTTACCTAAGTAAAGCTCCCTTTACATTTTCATAAATTTCTATAATGACATTGAGAATTAATTAACAAATTAAACAAAACTTACCTAAGTTGTAGTTTGATGTTAATTTGGTAAGGGCCAATCTACCAGAATCACATGCCCGCCCGAGTTGTGATTTGTGCCCTCCCTTATTCAAATATGGAAGTTTCAGTTCCTGACTTTCTCCACTCTGAAGTCTGATTTGTATCATGTGATCATCTGTTCACTCGTGTGATTCTGGAAGATTGGACCTTACCAAATTAACATCAAACTACAACTTAGGTAAGTTTTGTTTAATTTGTTAATTAATTCTCAATGTCATATTAGAAATTTATGAAAATGTAAAGGGAGCTTACATCAATAGATATAAACAATTCACCAAAGTTTCATGAGAATTGCTGACAGCATTTTTGAGTTATTGTCCGAAAACTGGAAAGTCCCCCCTTCAATGAATAAAACCCCGTAACTCAGAAATGATAAATGAAAAATTTATAAAATTCTAAACGGAGCTTACATCAATAGAAATAAACAATTCACCAAAGTTTCATAAGAACTGCTGAAAGCATTTTTGAGTTATTGTCCGAAAACTGGAAAATCCCCCTTTTTTATGAATAAAACACTAACTCGGAAACGTAAAATCTAAAGTATATAAAAATCGAAAGGGAGCTAATGTCAATAGATATAAACAATTCACCACAATTTCTTGCAAGTTGGTGAAAGCATTCTTGAGTTATTGTCCGAAAACTGGAAAATCCCCCTTTTTTCAATGAATAAAACCCCATAACTCGGAAAAGTAAAATCTAAAATTTATAAAAAGTGAAAGGGAGCTCACGTCAATAGATATAAACAATTCACCAAAGTTTTATGCAAATTGGTTAAAGCGTTTTTGAGTTAATGTCCAATATGTTGACGACGGACGGACAGATGGACAGACAGACAATGGTATACCATAATACGTCCAAAAATTGGACAACAAGCTTCTGTTTTCTTCCTTTTATACTTAAACTAGATGTGTCAGATCGACATGAATTGCCCCGCTCGCAAAAAAACTTGAAGCAACTTTTAGGATTGGAAATTTACAAATGGAAGTCTGTTATTTTCACGAAATTTAAAAGTCCAAATCCCATAATTTCGTCAAAAGTCAGCAGACACATACTAAAAATGAGCTCAATATGTTAAGGTGTTTAGAAAAAAGTCTGTATAACTGTTTGTTGCGGAATGACGGAATGAAGGATACGGGAACACTATATGGCCCAGACCACTTTGTGGCGGGGCCATAAAAATCAAAGTCAACACTAACTTTTTTTTTCAAATATAATATATGTTTTTATAGTTCAATACCAAAACTGTAAGAAATAAAGATTGTAATTGTTATTGATCTCAAAACTATTTAAAAGCTATGATCACCATTTCTTTCCACCATAATTCAATGGAGAGGGAGAGGCTTCTGGCTGTACCTCTGGTGTAAAGGGGTACATTGCTGGACGATCAATATCAATTTCAGGACTTGGGAAATATACAAGAGCCATCTCTTTGGTGATTTCTTCAAGCGGTGGCAAAGAATCAAGTACTGCAATCTAAAGAATAAATTTAACAAAAAATAAGACAATAAATAATTAAAAAACAAACAAACAAAAAACAACAACAGTAGAAATTTATCTCCATGTAAAATAATCTGCTTCTATATGTGCAGAGGATATCATATGCCCTTGTCCAGAATTCAATATTAAGAGTGTTATGCAATTTTTAAAAAATATGGACCTCAAGTTTTTCAGCAACAAGTTTAACAAGTCTAGAATAAAATTGCTTTCTGCTCTGGCCACACCAACAAAAAAAAATTGTTCTTCAGATTTTTCAGATGAATATTGAGGGGTGGCAATTAATGAATCTGTTGGTGTGAAATTTTTTTTGGGGTCTCTGACATTGAAATTTACAATATAAGCAGCATTGCTAAGATTCAAACCTTGTATGTAATTTATATACATATCACTTATTTTTTTGTGTTTTTATATGTGTGTTGCAGTAAATGTGGAGTCCTTCCTGTTTTAAGCAAGTTTAAGTTTAATCAGAGCTACCAATCACGGCTGTAGCGCACCTTAAAGGAATTGAGGCAAAGGGGTTCTGGGGAATGTGGCCCCAGCGGGACAAAAATGTTTGAACTGTTAACTTGCATTTTCCTGACGGGACACTAAGGGAATGGTTGGTGCATTTATAATAAGAAATAACATGAAATAACAGAAAGTATGTGTTTATTTCTAACTCTTAGATTCAACAAACTGTCAAGTGTCAATCTGGAAATTAATCTCTATTCATCCAAAACCTCCTGATTCTACGGTAGCTAGAACTATCATATTTCAAATGCCCATTTCCCTGTAATGTGTCTAGGTTAGGTGACTTGTCTTTCTACGGACTGTTACCTTGTGAACTAGCACGTTAAAAATCCTACTCAGCGTGTCGGTCTAGTACAAAGCAAGGTTAATATTCATATTACATTAACTTATTCTTGTCCTGAATATGCATATTAATTTGCCGCTGGATGTTAAGCAGCCATCCATCATCATCATCATCATATAGTGCAGATTCTCTTCCTCACCTCGTCCACCTCTGTTGTATTAATAATGCAAAAGTTTCGTCACATAAAAAATGATTATTTTGCAAGAAAATCTGGTATAAGAAACAATAATAATTGGCTCTTCTTCTTTCAATACATGCATAAATTTTATTAACACAGTTTTAATCATAAAGCTTTTGCTGCCTCTGGAGTCAAGCACTGCCCTGGATTTATTTACAAATAGCTTTAACTTCATGGAGGACTCAGATGTAAATGGCTCATTCATCACATATATTTTCCATAATCCACTGCCTGCACTTCAGATAGTCAAAATCCAACAAACAATACCCAGTAAATTGCTAGTCGGTGCTGATGTAACCCTGCCTTTGGCATTTATCATGATTTGAGTCGCCTATAAATGTTTTTGAGCTTCCATTTCGAAAATCAAAGGGTGAGGTGGGTTATAACTACTCCTTAACCTTACCATCAACCGTATGTTCTGAAATGTAAAATAAATAGTGTATGAGTACATTGCTAAAGAAATATAAATTATAATTTCTTTTTTGCAATTCAGTTTAAATCGTTTTCATTATAAGAGGAGATTATGTTTTGAATCAGTGCAATATTTCAGAAATTATAAGAACACAGAGTATAAAACTTATAGAAGCTTTAAACAAGAGTGCACACACTGAAATGTCTCACCTGCTTTACTGATCATTGATTTTATGTTTATAGTCCTAAATATAAAGCTTTACTACAAGTATCATATTGCTTATAGTTTCTAAGAAACAAACTTAACCAGGAAAACTTAACTCTGACCAATGAACCATGAAAATGAGGTCAAGGTCAGATGAACCATGCCAGACAGACATGTACACCTTACAATCAATCTATGCATTAAATATAGTTGACCTATTGCGTATACCATCTCTAAGAATCAAACTGAACCATGAAAATTTAACATTGACCAATGAACCATGAAAATGAGGTCAAGGTCAGATGATACCTGCCAGACAGACATATACACCTTACAATCATTCCATACACCAAATATAGTACACCTATCACATAAAGTATTAGAAAAAAAAAAGACCAAAACACTGAGCAATGAACCGTGAAAATGAGGTCAAGGTCAAATAAAACCAGCCAGACTGACATGTACATCGTAAAAATATTTCCATACACCAAATATAGTTGACCTATTGCATATAGCATAAGAAAAAAAGACCAAAACACAAAACCTTAACTTTAACCACTGAACCATGAAAATGAGGTCAAGGTCAGATGACACCTGCCAGTTAGACACGTACACCTTACAATCATTCCATACACCAAATATAGTAGACCTATTGCATATAGTATCCGATACATGGACTTGACCACGAAAACTTAACCTTGTTCACTCATTCATGAAATGAGGTCAAAGTCAGATGAAAACTGTCTGACAGACAATAGGACCTTGCAAGATACGCACATACTAAATATAGTTGTCTTATTACTCATAATAAGAGAGAAATTAACATTACAAAAAATCTTAACTTTTTTTTCAAGTAGTCACTGAAACATGAAAATGAGGTCAAGGACAATGGACATATGACAGACGGAAACTTCATAACATGAGGCATTTATATACAAAGTATGAAGCATCCAGGTTTTCTTCCTATTCCTGAGCCATAACCCCCCAAAGCAAATCCTAACCATCCCTTTGTGGTATGGAAACTTGTGTTATAATCTCAGAGAGATCCATACACGGTTCCACAAGTTATTGTCTGGAAACTAGAAAAATGCTTATTTTTGGCCCCTACTTCCTTAACTGTTGGTACCATAACCCCAAAAATCAATCCCAACCTTCCTTTTGTGGTATTGAACCTTATGGTAAAATTTCATAGAGATCCATTCACTTAAACTAAAGTTATTGTGCGAAAACAAATGTGTCTTCTGACGACGACGCCAACGTCATACCAATATACATTTTTTGCGGTCTTATAAAAATACATGAAAAAAAAACTGCCACACAAAAACTAGAATTCAGTACCATCTCAAATGAATTTGTAGACAAACAGCTTAAAAAATCAAACATCAAAAAGGCAACAGGAATAGATGGCATCTCAGTTATATTCCTAAAACTAGCACAACCAGTTATCACAAAACCAATAACTGAATTGATAAACAAGACTATAAAATCAGCTACTTTTCCAGACCAACTGGCACAAGTTGTACCATTGCACAAAAAGAACAATGTACTTGATGTAGGCAACAATAGACAAGGAAGTATACTTCCTGTTATTTCAAAATTTTTCGAACATGCAATTTACAACCAGCTAATTGAATACTTCAATACACACTTTCACCCATACTTATCAGCTTTTCGATCAAAATACGGATGTCAAACTACTCTACTCAGAATCATTGAGAATTGGAAAATAGCACTTGATCAAAATAAGTTTATTTGGTCAATACTAATGGATCTTTCTAAGGCATTTGACTGTCTTCCTCACGATCTTCTGCTGCTTAAGCTTGAAGATTATGTATGGTCTTTCATCTTCTTCTCTAGAACTGATAAAAACATTACTTATCTAACAGGAAACAATGTATCGAGTTGGCTCCAGTCTGAACAATTGGCAAAATATAGACAAAGGAGTACCACAAGGTTTTATTCTTGGTCCTATACTTTTCAAAAATTTTTAAATGATATCTTTCACTTCACCTCACACAGTTCACTCTACAATTATGCTGACAACAATACTCTTTCTTATGCAAATAGGGATATAAACACAGTTATTTCTACACTTGAAAAAGACAGTTTGACTCTGATAGACTGGTTCTCTTCCAATCAAATGAACGCAAACCCTGAAAGATTTCAAGCTTTGGCAATTGGCAAAAATACAATGGGCAAAACATTACATTTTACCTGGCAGGTAACAATATAAAATGTGAAAAAGAGGTCAAACTATTAGGCATCACCATTGACTTTGAACTAAATTTCAACACACATATCTCCAACATCTGCAAATAAAATGCTTCGCTGAGCGCAGCTGGATACGACCACAGAGGTTCAACCCTGAACAGTTGGGGCAAAAATGGACACAATATTCGTGCTTGATACAGGTCTGAATTTGAATTGTAATTAAATATTTTACACATACTAGGTTTCTGACACAGAATAAGTGTAGTCAAAGAACTTAAAACTGGTTATATGATTTGAATTTATATTAATTTTTTTGCTTTTGTGCAATACACTATGATGTTGAATATTAACCCCCCCCCCCCCCCCCCAAAAAAATATTTTGAAGGAATTTTCTTTTTAATTTCTGAAATCTGAAATGAGAAAAATTGTAGCCCCCCCACAAATTCTTATTTACCCTCCCCCCCCCCAAATTTTTTTCAACTACCCCTTTCTCTTATTCCAAAAATAATCTCAATTCAAATTTCTAATGGAGTTTGCAACCATAACTACTCATTTAAATACATCCTAAAATATTAAAATATAAAATGACATACAGTCATGGTTAAAATTAATATTAATTAATAGTAACTTCTAAAAATAAATTTACAGCTAATCATCTCAAGACAATCATCATTTCTTAATACATAATTTTCAAGCAGTGTAAGGGAGGTAATCAAACATATATACAACAGTATTCTTTAAATGGATTGGATTACCTCCCTTACACTGCTTTTAAATTGTCTAAATTATCCTTTGACCATAAAAACCCTTGTTTTTCCCCCTTTTTTGGCCCCTAATTCCTAAACCTTTGGGACAATAACCCCCAAAATCAATCCCAACCTTTCTTTTGTGGTTATAAACCTTGTTTTAATTTATTGATTTCTATTCACTTATACTAAAGTTATTATCCAGAAACCATCTGTCTTCGGATGACGATGACGACTACAACGACAATGTGATACCAATATACGACCAAAAAATTTTCGTATAAAAAGCATCCAACCAACTTAATGTCTTAAAAAGACTTGGCAAATAATTGAACAAACTAGGAAAGTTAACAATATATCACTCCTTCATTA